CCAACCCCCCAAAAAAACTAGAACGCGCGACTAACCCGACCGACCCAAACTAAACTATTCCGGCTAGCCTACCGACGCCAACGCGAAATACCAAAGAAGCTCGAACCACCTTATGGACTCACCTGGCCAGTCAGCAGGAGCAGCGGGCAAAGGCAGATGCGAGGCAGAGAGGTAGCAAAATCGTGAGCAGCGAACGAAAAAAACAAAAACTCATGCAGATGCAGCTGAAAAGGCGTATAAAACTTGCTGACCGGGGAAGCTGGAAAGAGAAAACCTAATGAAACTATATGAAAATGGAAGAAAAGTCAGGAAGTAATAAAGAATTGCAAAGGCGGCGTAGGACGACCCAGGTGGTGTCGTACGAGATGACCTAGTGACGCATTGGACGGATGACGCATGGGACGGGATGTCGCGTTGGACGGCGTATATGCCGGCAGAACAGGGTGAAAGCAAAACAGGGTGAAAGCAAAACAGGGTGAAAGCAAAAAAGGAAGTAATAATAAGAAACAAAAACTAAAAACAAAAAACAGTGCGTGGGTCGGGGCCACATATGGCTCCCGCCAAACCGTGCGCACCAGGAGCATTTGCATGCAGCTCCGTGGTGCCTAAAAAGAAAAAATTTTAGCGTAAGAGGGGCAGTGAGAGAAGAAGAATAAAAACTAAGGGCAGGGTAGAGGGGAAGGAGAAGAAGGAAGTAGGGTATGAAGCATGCGAAGGATGTGAGCTAGGATATCGAAGCCATTACGGCGTTGAACTAAGAAGAGTTGTGGCCAGTAAAAGAGTTGTTGAGCACATTGTATCTCAAGGCGTCGTCGCGGGTAGCCTTGAGCAATGAGTTGTGCCATGAGGTTAGCCACGGAAGACGCAAAATTGTGAGCGTCCGTGATAATGCGTTGTAGTCTACGAAATTGGCTGATGAAAATATTTCGTTTTGCTGCTTCATTAACGGACGAGGAAGAATGCACAAAGCGCGAAAGGCGAATATCTGAAAAAGCTGATTGCTGTAGCTTATCGTAAAGATGTGTATCATACCAACTACAGCCGTTACGAATGGAATGGACTAAGAGGATATCTAAGAAAGGGGTTTTATTAATGGGGTGTTGCTGAACTGGGATTTCAAGTTGATGGGGATAAATACCTCGCAAAGAGTTAGTTCCCACTGATTCGGGTAGGTGAAAAAGGAAGGAAGAAAGATGAGGGTTACCCAGGGAGAGGAGGTCATCGAGGTACCGTTTAGTGAACTGAAAAGATTTAAGTATAATTTTATTAAGGGAAGAGGTAGTAGAAGAGTAAAATTGCTGTAAGAACTTATATTCATGCCAAGCGAGGAAGAGATTAGCAATATAAGGGGCTGGGGATATCCCCATGGGGATACCGCAGATTTGTTGCACGAGGTGCGGGCCAAAGCGAATGAAAGTAGCAGAAAAAAGCGCAGTAAGGAGGGTAACCAGGTCGTGAACCGAGAAGTACACGGTCTGGGAACCATCGGCGTATGAAGAGTAACGGTGTGCAGGGGTAGGACCTTCACAATATTCGGCGGTGAAGGAAGGGAGGGCGGCACCAGGTTTGGGAGGATACATGCGGACGAACAAGCACGTGACATTAGCGAAGAGAAAGCAATGGTGGATAAGCTCTTCCAGGACAGTACGGAGGAGGTGGTGTGGCAGGTTAGTATACAAGCGGGTAAAGTCATGAGCCTGAGCTGGATGGAAGTCGGGGTGTAAAGGAAGAACGTTAGCAGAAGCAGAAGAAGGATCATGTGAGGGTGAGATGGGTTGTGCGAAGTTGGCAAAGACGGGAAGTTGTGCTGCATTATAACGGTGCACCATGGTAATGACCTCAGCTGAATTTTCACAAAACCATAAGGGGAAATCTGGTAAACGGGCTTTCCAGAGTTCCAGGGAAAGGAGGGGGCGGACATCAAGTGAGAGAGGAGGTGAGAGAGAAAGTGAGCATCTGCTGCTACCACCATGCCGCACTCAAGAGGGCGCACCGTTCAAGAGGGCCCACCGGCCCACTGCCCCCAGGGGGTGGGTGAGGTGAGGCCCAAGCGGTGTCATGTCACCGACCCGTGGGGGGTGGGGGTACATACATATATACGTGTACATACATACATACATACGCACACACCTCCTTCCCCAGCACATCCACCACCAGACATGCAGTCGCCAGCCGCTCCAGGTTCTCCGGGGGCATCTTGAGGCCGTCGTTGGCGGGGCCGCCGATCAGGATCTTGAAATCGTTCAGTACGGCATATTGCAACTTGGCCTCCACCGCCGCCAGACGGAGAGCAATAGAACGAACCTTGCGAGGGGGTAAGGGGGTGTGAGGGGGAGGAGGAGGAGGAGGAGAGAGCAAAAGGAAGGGTAAGGGGTTTAGGTGGAGGGGAAGACGGGGACCCCATACACACAAAACCTGCCAGCTGCCCGTACCCGCCCCTTAACACACGCTCACAGACAGACAGACAGACATGCTGACATGGCGTTGGCCACACCCCCTCGCGTCTCTCCAAACAGGTCCATGTTCGCACGCGTTTTCCTTTTTTCACACGAACACACAGTTCCCCGATGACCCGCCTTTATCCGCCCCTGCCGTACCTTTGATATTGCCTCGTACTGCTGAAAATACTCCATGAGCTGGTGTACGGCCTCTACGAGGTTAGCGCACTTGCGGTACTGATCACGACGGTCGCACAACGCCTCCAGGTCTGTGTGGTGTTATTAATAATATCATTATTATTAATGGCGGACAGGGGGGTTGTGTGTGTATGAGGTGGGGTGGACGTGAGGTCCGTGTGGTGTGTGTATGTGTGTACGACATCTCCAGCAGCAATGGCGCCTCTCGGCTCAGTTAATCAATACACATACATACATTACATACACTATGCGTGCCACCCGACACCCCCTTTTACTCCGCCCACCAGGCCCACCCCAACACACGCACCCGTAACTGCCGCCGTAAGCATGGCCAGGCGCCTCAGCGCGGTGATGGAGTTGGTGAGGTGCTTCTTGGCGTAGTCCAGTTTCTTGATGTCCCGACAGATCTCCTGTACGGTGACCTCGCTCTCCTCGCTCTTGCGCTGAATGTCGCGAATCTTGGTGAACAGCTCCTCGATCTGGCCGTGAGCCACCGTCAGGTCCTGTCTGCGAGAGTTGGGGGGGGAAAGGGGGTTGTGTGTGTATATATGTGTGTTTTGGGAGGAGGATAAGGTGAACCATTGGTGAATGAAGCAGTGTCTGTGTGGGGTTGGGTGGGTGGGGGGACGCGCCGGGAGGGGGGTACATGTGTGCGCTTGGTGTAGCAGAGGTGGGGTTTATGTTGGTCGATGTTGTAAACCCAGCGGTGGGGTGTGAGGACAGGGGGCATGTACGTGCGCTTTCCGGACCTGGCGGGGTGTATGGCACATAGCAATCAGTGGATGACCCAGATGACCCAAATTCAGCATTATAAAATATATATGGGTTGTAGTACAGCGGAGAGGCATTATGCTGTGCGTGCACAAGCAGTGGTTGGGGTGTCGCTCTCACCCTGTCTTCCCCTCCTCCCCCCCTTCCGTTCCCTCCACGATCCCCCCAACCCCGGGGGCAACAGATGGAGGACAGCGCTATTTACCTCGCACGGGCATGCGCGCCACCCTGTGACCGAACTGCGTTGAAAATCTCCTGGTCCACTTGCTGAATCTGTTGGCAGTTAGAATCGTGGAGAGGACATCGTAAATGTTAGCGATCGCCAACCAAGATACTTCGCAGTGCCTACCTGTTTTTTAAGGACCGTGACGAACTTGTCAAGATCGGTCAGGCTTGACTCTGCACGAACGTCGGCAACGAAGAGAATTGCATCTGAATCTAGCGCCCACGGAATGGAAGTTTTATCCCAGCTTCAGAACTTGTGAAAGGGAATTGCGCACCATCCGGGTAGAGCTGGTTGATGAGCTTGGTAGGCTCGAAATCCTCCGAATCAAACAGGTCAGCCCGCTTGCACGATGGCATTCGGAGAATTGTAAGTTGTAACTGCAATTTAGCTTGCTGCTCAAGGCTAGTCCTGCGTTCTATATTTGTCCTCCCGCTCGGCGGGGAGGCCATGGCTCCCCCAGGAATCTGGGCCCCACGAGGGGGTGTGGAAGCCATTTTTACGTAAGAGTTATGGGGATGCAAAACGTGAGCGTCCAAAGGGGCAGAGCCAAAACTCTCGGGGCATCTATCCTTCACCCTTGGACTGGCTCCCGGACGATGACTATTCTATTGATACGTAAAATAATGTAGTCAAAACGGTAACATTCTTGTGAGTTGCCTTGCAATCGCCACATAGTTCAACCAGGGAACGAGCGGGAACGGAAATTTGCGAAAGCGTAAATTTGCGAAAACAGTTTCCGTCCGCATCCGCAAGCAGAGCCTGGTTTCGCGGATGGGAGGATTTTGGTTCCGCACTTCTCGCGCGTGCGGTACGGCGGAAAGTCAAATCTTTGCACGCAGTCCTGGGGGCCCTGACTCGAAGTCAGCCCCACCCTGGAGTTAGTTGGTACCGCTTTCATGTACTTCCTCAAACAAACTGCTTCTCTAGTACTGTGATGTTTTATTTCTTATATGCAAGGTAACTGAACTGAACTTGGAAGGCGCCACCACAGTTGCCGGTGCCATGAAAGCGCAACCGTCCCGGGACACAGGCTCAGGCACAGAAATAGACTTATGGCTGGTTGCATAACAAATTGCGGGATGCGAGGCGAAGTGCGGTCTTGCGTACTGCTGAAGTCGCAAGTCGCAAGTTGCAAGTCGCAAGTCGCAAGGAACACGCAAAATTTCTATTATGATATATGATATATTATAATATATACGCGAATACGTACGTGTGCATACTCAGTTTGTAGAGCGGGTCTCACAATGGGAGAATTGCCAAATACAGAAGTACGGAGGGCCCTATGCCAACCACGGATATCACACCAGGACGAGACAGTCCGAGTTTTGGCCATTCCAGCACAGAATGCAGAGTCAGACAACAGGTACCAACTAAGCTTTATTAAGACGGATTACAGAAAATAGACGACGAGAAAGACTAGAAAAAGTCGAGGTCGCAAGTCGCTTGACGAGCGATCTTCGATTGCCTTTATCTTTTGTTTTGCCTACAATAGGACGCCGTCTCTTATATATATGAGCTGACAACAACAACGGCGGCGCGCGGATCAACATTGCGGGACGACGACATCCATGCAAGTAAGTGAAGCGCGCGAACACCGCGCGGGTGGTTGGGTTGGTTCGGCCTTGAGTGGAGGCTCCTGAATAGTGGGTCCTGTTGCTTATCGGTGGGCGGGGTGAATTCTAATTGGGTTCGCGAGGTCCGTCGGTTAGTAGGAAAGGGAGTGTTATTTCGGCCTCCCACAGTTGGCTAGGCTTCAGCTAGGAGACCGTTTTGCCGAGAGCAGCTCTTGGTTGGCAATGGTCGCGAGTGACTTGGTTGGCGTTCTTTGCCTTGAGTTCGCCGGATTTACCCTGTTATCCTCGCGAGTCGCCGGACAGCCCGGTGAAGGATACCTACCAACAGAACAGATACCCAACGTGTGAATGCGTAAAGGACAAAGAGCAAAACAGGCCGACAGGATGGCTTCAAGAAGTCTGCAAGCATACGAAAGTCGAAGTCAAGACTCGTGGACTGACCCGGAGTCTTCGGACGCGCGGACGGGCTACAGCTACATCATAAAGCCGCTGCGGCGGTCCGCTAAGTGCGGCACAAATGCATGACAAGCGGCTGCGGAAGGCAGTGCGCGTAGGAAGCCCGCCGCGGCGGCACGCCGAAATTAAGGCGTTGACTTAGGAGCATATAGACAGCGACCGCGGAAGGCAGGGCGCTTGTAGAAAAGCCGCTGCGGCGGTCCGCTAAGTGCGGCACAAATGCATGACAAGCGGCTGCGGAAGGCAGTGCGCGTAGGAAGCCCGCCGCGGCGGCACGCCGAAATTAAGGCGTTGACTTAGGAGCATATAGACAGCGACCGCGGAAGGCGGGGCGCTTGTAGAAAAGCCGCTGCGGCGGTCCGCTAAGTGCGGCACAAATGCATGACAAGCGGCTGCGGAAGGCAGTGCGCGTAGGAAGCCCGCCGCGGCGGCACGCCGAAATTAAGGCGTTGATTTAGGAGCATATAGACAGCGACCGCGGAAGGCGGGGCGCTTGTAGAAAAGCCGCTGCGGCGGTCCGCTAAGTGCGGCACAAATGCATGACAAGCGGCTGCGGAAGGCAGTGCGTGTAGGAAGCCCGCCGTGGCGGCACGCCGAAATTAAGGCGTTGACTTACGAGCATATAGACAGCGACCGCGGAAGGCGGGGCGCTTGTAGAAAAGCCGCTGCGGCGGTCCGCTAAGTGCGGCACAAATGCATGACAAACGGCTGCGGAAGGCAGTGCGCATAGGAAGCCCGCCGCGGCGGCACGTCGAAATTAAGGCGTTGATTTAGGAGCATATAGACAGCGACCGCGGGAGGCGGGGCGCCTGTAGAAAAGCCGCTGCGGCGGTCCGCTAAGTGCGGCACAAATGCACGACAAGCGGCTGCGGAAGGCAGTGCGCATAGGAAGCCCGCTGCGGCGACACGCCAAACTGAAGGCGTTGACTTAGGAGCATACAGACAGCGACCGCGGAAGGCGGGGCGCTTGTAGAAAATCCGCTGCGGCGGTCCGCTAAGAGAGGCACGAATGCATGACAAGTGGCCGCGGAAGGCAGTGCGCGTAGGAAACCCACCGCGGCGGTACGTCGAACTTAAGGAATTGATTTAGGAACATAAAGACAGCGACCGCGGAAGCCGGGCCCCTGTAGGAATCCGCTGCGGCGGCCCGTTAAGGGAGGCACGAATGCATGACAAGCGGCTGCGGAAGGCAATGCGTGTAGGAAGCTCGCCGCGGCGGCACGTCGAACTTAAGGCTTTGATTATGGAACATTTAGACAGCGACCGCGGAAGGCGGGGCGCTTGTAGAAAAGCCGCTGTGGCGGTCCGCTAAGGGAGGCACGAATGCAGGACAAGCGGCCGCGGCAGGCAGTGCGCGTAAGAAGCTCGCTGCGGCGGCACGCCGAACTTCAGGCTTTGATTATGGAGCATATAGACAACGACCGCGGAAGGCGGGGCGCTTGTAGAAAACCCGCTGCGGCGGTCCACTAAGGGAGGCACGAATGCATGACAAGCGGCTGCCGAAGGCAGTGCGCGTAGGAAGCTCGCCGCGGCGGCACGTCGAACTTAAGGCTTTGATTATGGAGCATATAGACAGCGACCGCGGAAGGCGGGGCGCTTGTAGAAAAGCCGCAGCGACGGTCCGCTAAGGGAGGCACGAATGCATGACAAGCGGCTGCGGAAGGCAGCGCGCTTTGGAAGCCCGCCGCGGCGGCACGCCGAACTTAAGGCTTTGATTATGGAGCATATAGACAGCGACCGCGGAAGGCGGGGCGCTTGTAGAAAAGCCGCAGCGACGGTCCGCTAAGGGAGGCACGAATCCATGACAAGCGGCCGCGGAAGGCAGTGCACGTAGGAAGCCCGCCGCGGCGGCACACCGAGAGGGAGGCGTCGTGACCTAGGAGGATACAAACAGTGAACGCGAAAGGCGGTGCGCTTGGAGAAAACGGCTGGGATCGTCCGCAAAAAAAAAAAAAAAAAAAAAAAACGACAAGCGGCTGGGGAAGGCAACGCGATCACGAAGTCTACCGCGGCGGCACACCGAACCGAAGGTGTTTGGCAGGGGAACTTGTAGACAGCGACCACAGAAGGCATCGTCATTGTAGCAAACCGCCGAGGTGGCCCGCGGAGTTCGGCTCACAAGAGGCTGCAGGGGGTAGCGTTATTGAGGAACCCGCCGTGATGGCTCGCGGGTTTACAGGCGTGGCGATGTAGGAGTATGTCAACAACGATCGCAGAAGGCGGCGCCCTTGTTGAAGGGAGACAGGGAGGGACACGTCTCAGACACGGGACCCGGAGTACCTGACACGAACGAGACACAGAACGAGTCACAGTTAGTAGAAAGCCGTTACCGTCCTCTATAGAACCCACGGGTCGACCCACCGATGGAGACCATAAGGGTAGTTGCTCGAGAAAGGTGTGGGAAAGCCATAATTTAACGCGGTAGGCGTACCAACCGCCCTCGCCTGGGAAGGTTTTCCAGCTAGGCGGCGGAAGAAGGCTTTCGCAGCTCTCTGTACGAGGAGGAGCGAAGGCTGATTCGAATGTACTTGGTTGGCCCATCAGGAAACCAGAGGCATGGAGGCCGTGAGGGGAGCAGGACGCCCCAAAAAATCAAGGCATGCTCAGGCGCAGACTACAGAGGTACCCGGGAGAGCCGCTAGACTGCCGGGGCCCGTGAAGGTCACCCTGTTAAAACGCAAGGCGCGGCCCTGGGAGCGGAGAAAAATTGACCGAGAACTACCGGAGCAGTCGGTTTCCTCGAGCAGTGGGGAATCGGCGAGTAGCAGCGACGAAGATAGGCAACCCGGGCGGACGACTCGGGCCAGGAGGGCGGCATCGGAGGACATACGACAGGCTAGAGCTGAAGGGTCATCCGCCGCCGGCAGGCAAGCGGAAAGAGACATCCAGTCTGAATCCAGGGGCCAGGTCGGGCAACAAGTGGATTGGCGAGCCCTGGGCAAGACGTTGGCGGCAAAACACGGGGACAAGGCCACGTCACTCAGAGGCACGCTGGAGTCCAACGCGGCCTCAGACCCAGGAGCGATCGTGGCTTTAAGAATCGAAGAGTTCTTGGGCTCAGAGGACGGCCGCCAACTTTTTGTGGGGCGGCGCAAAGAACTTATGGCGATCGGTCTGGCGGACGCGCTGGAACAGTTTGTGCTGGCGAGTAGGGCAGGATCGCTTCGATGGATCCACGAATCACTAGAAGCGAGGTTACGACGGGGACTAACCCCCCTTATCGAGGAAATTGCAGACCTACTGGCAGCAGCCTTTCGAACCGCGGCGGGAACCTATCCGGGGGCGAGTCCAGATTTCGGGAGAAAGTGTACAGTTCCCCAGTTAATGACGACCGCGTGTCAGAAGGCAAGCGATGCGGCGCGGGTGCCCGATGTTCAGGAATGGTCCCAGCGAATGGCGGAGGCCTTATGTGCGCCGGGTTGGGGCGCGGCGGTGGTCGAAGAATGCGAGAAGATTCAGCCACAACTCCCGGTCGAGGGAATTCCGTTGTGGCGAGTTTTCCTGGCGGCCCTCCGGAGCAAGTTTTCCTGCTCAGACACCGGCGCCCAATTCTCGGCACAGGAACTGCGCCAGGGATTGTTCCCAGCCGCAGTGAGCCTGGTCCGACTCACCATCGCCGCTAAGGCAGCGCTGGCGGAAACGGAGCTCATAGCGGTCGATAAACGCCGAGACGGAGCGCGGGAGCAGTATACCAGACCAAGGTATACACCGAGCCTTCCGGGGGGGGAGGGCCCACAGTCGTTCGGCGGCGTGTATCGAGTCCCTAGTGGGACTCAGTGGGCGGAAGGCCCCCGAGGAGCACCGGCCGGAGACATGTATGGGGGCCGGCCTGTCTTCAACACCTGGGGAGAGCCAGGTTGTTCTCCGGCGCCATATCCACCGCAGGGAGAGGCGCCGTCATACGCAACAGCATGGCGGGGGACCCAGGCAGCGGATAACAGGGTCCGCGGCCCCCAAGGCCCGACAGGGTGGGTACCGCCGGCGCCATCGGGCTTGGCATCAACGGCGGCAGGGCCGGTACCGAGAGGTTTCCCGCCGCCGGCACCACCTCCGTTTAGGGACAGCAGAACCAGGGAGGGCGACCGTCCCAGAGCCACTCAGCGACCGCTAAACTGGGACCCGTTGAAGGCGCGGCTACAGGCTGTACAGCCGGGGAGCCAGAGGACAGACGCGGAACTGCGCAAGGTCACACAGGAAAACAAGCTGTGTTTTCATTACGCAGCGGCGGGGTTCACTCCCGGAGCATGCCCACTGCTCGCGGAAGGTCGGGAATGCCGGTGGCGTCACACGCCCCCGGAAGGAGTGGCGGACACGATAACCCTGTTCGTACAGCCCGCCAGAGGGGCTCCGGTAGGTCAATAGGACAACGGGTGGAGGGGTTGTGTTCTTTCTTGGGCAGATCGAGAGAAAAGTGCATGCGGTAATCGGATTGACAGACATCAGAGAAGGAGGACTGCATTAACCGCATGGGAACTTAAGAAGAGACCCCGGCGATTGAGACAGAGCTCGAATTGAACTCGAGGGAGGGTGAGACGGCTGATAGGACGCGCAGTGGTGGCGAGTGACACGTGTACGCTCGGTGGTCCATGGTGGGCTAGTACCTTTTCTGTAAGGTTAAGGTGTAGATGGCAAGAATCGTGGCGTGAGAGTGTGGGCGCTCAGGATGGGGAGTCCCCCAAGCCAAGCCTGGCTGATTGTTGGTTGCAGGGAGGCGGACCCTCGATGGTGGGGATACAGCGAGAAGACTCCGACGGAGCAAAGGAAATGGAGACGGAACGCGTAGAATGGTGGGCCGCGGACATAGTCGACCTGAGTACGGACCCGTTGGCGAGGATGGAAGCCGTGCAGGTGAATCATGTAAGGGAGGTGCCTCGATATACAGCCCCTCAGCTAGACCCGTTAACAGACGACGCCAGACAGCAAGCGATGGAGCGGCTACAGCAAGGATGGCACCGGATGCAGAGCCTACAATCCCCACAGGCGGTAGAGAATACACCCGATGCCGAATTCGAAAGCCAACTGCGAGCGATATGCCCAGATCCGGACGCATTCAGAGCCAGAAGGTTACAGCAGCACGGGGAGCTATGGGAAGCCTACTTCCGCATGTCTGGAGATGGGCGAATTGGGGCGCCGGCACGAGAGGTGTTGAAATGGGTGAGAGAAGGAGTACGACTAGAGTTCGTAGGGGTGTCCGCGCCTGGGCAAGAGTCAGCCCCACAACGGCAGTTAAAGTTGAGGATAGTACGATCTATGGTACAACAAGTACACCCCGGCCAACAGGTGCAGCGCTTCTTCGAAGGGAAAGAGCCACATCCCATCCAGTTCCCAAATCACAGCAGCACAGCTATGCACGACGATTTTGTGTCGGCCGAGCTAAAGCTGGCCCTGTCGCAAGGGGCTATACGGCTGTGGGACCAGCCTCTCCCGCCGACGGTCGTCAATGGCTTGCGGGTGGTCGAAAACGGGGTCAAGAAGCGGTTGTGTATGAATCCCATGTATGTCAACCTGTTCCTGCGTTACCAACCGTTGAAGTACGAGCGGCTGACGGATATGATGCATTACGTCCAATCCGGCGACTTCATGTATGCTACGGACGACAAGTCGGGTTATTGGCAGCTGTCAATGCATCCGGACGCATACCGCTTTCTGGCGTTCCAGTGGCAGGGGCAGACGTATTACTGGCCCAGCTGTCCGTTCGGCATTTCGCCGGCCTGCGGTTGGTACACCAACCTCAAATTAGAGGTATTCCGCCCACTGCGAGAGAGGGGGGTTCGGATGACGTTCCTCATCGATGATCACGCGGGTGCCGCAGAGGGAGCAGGCCGGTGCAAGTTCCTGTGCCGAACGGTGGTGCTCATCCTGGTGGCGCTGGGATTCACATTGAGCTTCAAAAAGTGCAGGATGATACCAAGCCAACGGCTCCGCTTTTTGGGTCTGATCGTCGACGCCAGGCTACAGGCGTTCCAGGTGCCCGAGGATAAGGTGGTGGCACTGCAGAACCTAGTGGACCAGATGGATCAGCAGCAGATGCCGATAACCGCACGACAAGGGGCGCAGCTCGCTGGCAAGGTCATGGCCATGAGCCCCGCCGTCGCCTTGGCGCCACTGCACAGTCGTTTAGTAAGCCGCGCCATTCAGGGGCACACATCGTGGGAGGCCGCGGTGGGACAGCCCGACGAAATCCTACGAGCGGCAAAAGCTTTCCTAATGGTCCTGAAGACACGGAACGGTTTAGCCTGGTGGCGCACCACCGCGGCGATTCAAGTCCAAGTGGCCGGTGATGCATCCGAGCAGGCCTTCTCGGCTCTTCTGCCCCAGGCCGAGTTGGGCGCAGAAGTAATGAGAGTCCCCTTCACCACTCAAGAGCAAGAACGCATGGCTGCGGGCAAGTTCAGCAGCGCCGAACGGGAGCTGAAGGGAGCATTATTGGCCCTGAGGTGGCTGAGAGCACGACTCCACACGGGTATTAGGGGACGGACACTCCAGTACCAGACGGACAGCCAGGCGGCGCACTTCTGCCTGCTAGGCCAGAGAGGCGCGAACGAGTGCCTGTTCCTAGTACGGGACCTCTTAATGGAGAGTGCCGAGGCCGGCTGTGAGGTAACACTGACTTGGATTCCACGCACCGGAGCCATGCAACAAGAGGCCGATCGGATCAGCAAGGAAAGCGACAGTGGGCAGTGGACACTGGACGACGACGTGTACGAGCGAGTGGTTAGTCGCCCATGCCTGCAGGGCCGACGACCGACGGTAGACTGCTTCGCGGATACCACGAATGCCAAGGTGCCGGGGAACTTCTATTCGCGTACATGGAACCCAGGGTGCACGGGTGTCGATGCCTTCGCGCAATCTTGGGTCCCGGGGGAAAACAACCCTAGGCCATTGTTGTATATCAACGCCCCGTTCTCTCAGGCAGGCAAGGTGCTGAACAAAGTGCGGAACGAGCGACCGGACTGCATTGTCATTCTCCCGGTGTGGCCACGGTGGTGGGTGGCCCTACTCAAGATCTTGCCGGTCGTGGAGGAGTGGGACCTGCCGCTCGTACCCCACCTATTCCGGCCGGGAGCCTTGGCACGGGCGCCGGGTGCCAGGAGTCCCCGTTACAAAGTGCGGGCGTACTTCATTCTATGGCGACCATGAAACAGCGGGGAGATCGACGGTCACGCGGAGGCAACAATAAGGGAGGGAGAGGGGCAGGAGTGGCCAAGGTGGAACAACACAGGACATCGGCATGACCCCAACCGGAGAGGAGCAACGCGGGGCAAACATAGATGACTTATAACGTGTGCCCGGGTGCACCACCCGGGGGTGGTCTGGGGGACGCGGAGACGAGAGTGAGAGAGTAGAGCTACGAAAGGGGGAGAGTTTACGGTGGGAGCAAGAATAAGGCGAGGCAGAGAGGGGGGCGCGCGGAGCGCGGGTGGCTGGGGGTGTTTTAGGTTGGCAGGGGGATGGAGGGTGGGACGCCGTGCGTGGTGCGTGGGGCTCGCTTAGGCGGAGAGCGTTACAAAGGTTGTAAGTGAGCCCTTCGTATCATACGGATGCTCGCCCCAACTAATCCGGCCCTTACGGTGGCGGGCTCTTTGACTTCAGAAATGCCAAATACAGAAGTACGGAGGGCCCTATGCCAACCACGGATATCACACCAGGACGAGACAGTCCGAGTTTTGGCCATTCCAGCACAGAATGCAGAGTCAGACAACAGGTACCAACTAAGCTTTATTAAGACGGATTACAGAAAATAGATGACGAGAAAGACTAGAAAAAGTCGAGGTCGCCCTCCCTCCCCACCCTCGTGAGACAGGACCAACCATGCACAGACTTATCACTCATCATCACTCTCCGAAACCACCAGCCCCGTCCCCGTCCCGCCGGCCGGGAGGCGGGCGAGGTGCCTAGTAGGATCCAGATAGCGGTGCAGAGTACCCAGAGAGCGGATGTGCGTGGAGCGCATGAGATCCTCATCGGAGACCCCCTGAGACTGGGCATGCTGCAAAGCACCCCGACGGAAACTGTGCACCGTCTCTCCGCCGTATAGCCCAGCAGCGGTAAGATGAGCGACGAGGCGATATTCCAGGGCCTCGGTCGTCATCGGCGCCTCCCGATAGGCGCGGCCACTGCACTCCGCCGGACGGAAGAGGTATTGGGTAATAGGGGTACCGGCCCTCGTACACGTGCTCATGTACACTGCAAGAACCCGCAGCGTGCAGACGAGAGGATCACGATCCGGACGCAACATCATCGCAGGAGCACGCTGACCCTTGTACGTCTGGTATTTAATTCTTCGATACGTAGTACAGTGTCGGGAGAGACACTCCCGTCAGGCGCGGGTAGGGGTAACGGCCAGCCCTGGTACGCGGTACGGCCATGCACCGGATCCCTGAAATCACTTAACACCAGCTTGCCGACATCATGACCGCGCTGATACGTATGCCACATTAAAGCAAATAGAGACAAGTCCCGAAGCACCAAACTGCGAGCAAACAAATGCTCTTCGTCGCCGGACGCAGTCCACAGATGGCAGGCCAGGCGACGAAACTTCTCCGCGGTCAAAGGGATGGCGCCTCGCTCCACATAACCGGCGTCACTAAGGTCCCGCCCGTAACCCTTGACATAGCCCCGCACCAATGAGCTGTCGCAAGGATTCCCGCGGCTTTGAGAGGCGTCATAGTCCCCTTCCCGGCCCAGCTGCTTAAAGGCAGTCGCAAGGCTCGAGATAACCCCTTTCACAGCACTGGCGCTGGGACGCCGGTCAGCCCGCAGACGCCCAGGGTGCCGGGGGAACCACCATTCCACCAGATACGAAACAATGGACATAGGATCGCAGGTGAGCAAGGTGAGCCCGAGAGACTGGCGCTGCAACCAGCCATGGAATTCTCGCGCAGCACTTTGAACCCGCCGCCAGCTCTCCGAGACCCACTGACGTTGGTGCACCTGGTAGATGGAGAGCAAGGCGGCCGTGAGCGGCGGCCGCACTGACACGTCCCCGGTAAACTCAGAGTAATACAGAGCCGCGACAGGGTCTAAAGGCGGCGGCGCCGACCTCGGGAGACGGATAGGGCCCGCAGCAAGCGGAGGCATGGCAGGGAGAGGATTACCAGGAAAGACCTGCGGTGATAATAGAGCCGAGGCGTAGGACGCACTAAGCTGACGGACGCCCATCGAAAACAGACAAAACGTACCAGCGGCAGGTGTAACGGCGGGACGATGAGATCGTCACGCTCAGGCGTAACGGTAACGAATCGATGAGTAGACGAAGTAAGTGGGTCTTGGCCCCACGGTAAGCCGCCAGGTACGAGAGGAAACATAATGCTAACGGGTACTTGCGATAACACGATTACTCGATTCAGGAACACGGAAAATTATTACAATAAAACGGGGCGCGATCGCGCTTCCAATAAATTTGGATATCACCGATAAGGGCCTAAATTCGTTCGTGCGTGGTGCGTGGGGCTCGCTTAGGCGGAGAGCGTTACAAAGGTTGTAAGTGAGCCCTTCGTATCATACGGATGCTCGCCCCAACTAATCCGGCCCTTACGGTGGCGGGCTCTTGGACTTCAGAAATTTATAATAGCACTACCGTAGTGACAGGAAAGTTCGTGATGTGAATTTCGTGACGGCATCACGAAATTATGTCACATATAAATTACAAGCTGTTCCAGGCGATGGTCGTCACGAATATATGTGTGCTCCGAAGCCAAATCGTATAATGCCTTCAACACAGTAATTACTCGTCGAATTCCCCACTTTTCTGGCCATATATACATCCATAGTAATTGAACGGACATGGATCGGAGGGCCAAGCGGCCTAAGCAACAAAGCCTCCTTCAATGCGGACTCTTCACACTTGCTCGCGGCGCCCCAGCTACGGATAGAGCTGGTTTTGCCGCTCCTAAATAACCGTGCATGCATTGGCCAGCTTTTTGCGTCAATTGGCGTTCTGAGTCGGACCCATTAATGCGAGCTTGCGTTAAGTAAGCTGGGTTAGTTGGGCGTAAGGCCCAATGCGTAACTGTTAGCCTAACTGTTTCGCAACGGCCCGTGTCCTCAGGGCCGTCATTTATTGCGCGCATTAAGCTGGTTAGCTTATCTTGTTTTTGTTGTTCAGCGCGCGCTGACCAACAAAACAGGTCCCGCGCCTTCGGCGCGCTTTCTGTTACTACACCGCTGTGCCTTCGGCTCGTCAGCGAGACCCATCGGGTAGAGTGCAGTGGAGAATATAAAGCACTAGCACCATAGAGTTAGCCCACCTTATTGAAGCACCTTTAGTAGTGCTAGTGGCGGCGGATGTCCCGGTATCGCTAGGCATGACTCCGCTGGTGGAGGCAACTCACAGCTATCCTACATAGCTAACTGGAATGTCACAGACTGGCATTTCCTCGAGGGCTTCTGCGACGCAGTTTATGCCCCCTGCTTTCTCCGGAGCGGGTCAACAACTCCCGCCCACCCCGGACCCAACAAGCTTGCCCCTGCAGCTACAACACTAAATGTCCTCTTGACGACGTATTTCATCAAGCTCATCCCCGAGGTTTGGGCGCGACGCTGAAGGTTTGCTCTTCAGCCGATCAGGAAATCGACGTCCGCCCACACCGGTGGTGGCTATGTGTGCGCTTCGTCCCATCCCTTCCGCGTGGTGATGGGCTCTACAACCCCAGGCGTGGAGTTTCCGGGGCAGCACGAGTAGCCCGATATGTCCACCACCTCCGTGCCCCTGCATGCTAGGGCCTCGGCGCGGCTGGCCGCTTGGAAGGCAATTGGAGCAGATGCGCACACATTGCACGTCTTGAAGCATGGTGTCCCGGTGGAGTTTCGAGGTAACCGCCCGCCGCCTGCTTTTGACCTGCCAAGTTTTCCTGCCACAGACGAGCAGAGCCGTTGGTGGTTGGAGAAGGAGGAGCCTCGCCTGGTGGCGCTCGGGGCCATCTCGCGGGTAGACCCCTCTCGTGCGGTTGATCATGTGGTGAACGCTTTTTGTGTCCCGAAAATGGACAGTGGTTCTTGGCGTTTGGTCGTCAACTTGAAGCTCGAATTGAACTCGAGGGAGGGTGAGACGGCTGATAGGACGCGCCGTGGGGGCGAGTGACACGTGTACGCTCGGTGGTCCATGGTGGGCTAGTACCTTTTCTATAAGGTTAAGGTGTAGATGGCAAGAATCGTGGCGTGAGAGTGTGGGCGCTCAGGATGGGGAGTCCCCCAAGCGGAAAGAGACATCCAGTCTGAATCCAGGGGCCAGGTCGGGCAACAAGTGGATTGGCGAGCCCTGGGCAAGACGTTGGCGGCAAAACATGGGGACAAGGCCACGTCACTCAGAGGCACGCTGGAGTCCAACGCGGCCTCAGACCCAGGAGCGATCGTGGCTTTAAGAATCGAAGAGTTCTTGGGCTCAGAGGACGGCCGCCAACTTTTTGTGGGGCGGCGCAAAGAACTTATGGTGATCGGCCTGGCGGACGCGCTGGAACAGTTTGTGCTGGCGAGTAGGGCAGGATCGCTTCGATGGATCCACGAATCACTAGAAGCGAGGCTACGATGGGGACTAACACCCCTTATCGAGGAAATTGCAGACCTACTGGCAGCAGCCTTTCGAACCGCGGCGGGAACCTATCCGGGGGCGAGTCCAGATTTTGGGGGAAAGTGTACAGTTCCCCAATTAATGACGACCGCGTGTCAGAAGGCAAGCGATGCGGCGCGGGTGCCCGATGTTCAGGAATGGTCCCAGCGAATGGCGGAGGCCTTATGTGCGCCGGGTTGGGGCGCGGCGGTGGTCGAAGAATGCGAGAAGATTCAGCCACAACTCCCGGTCGAGGGAATTCCGTTGTGGCGAGTTTTCCTGGCGGCCCTCTGGAGCAAGTTTTCCTGCTCAGACACCGGCGCCCAATTCTCGGCACAGGAACTGCGCCGGGGATTGTTCCCAGCCGCAGTGAGCCTGGTCCGACTCACCATCGCCGCTAAGGCAGCTCTGGCGGAAACGGAGCTCATAGCGGTCGATAAACGCCGAGACGGAGCACGGGAGCAGTATACCAGAACAAGGTATACACCGAGCCTTCCGGGGGGGGAGGGCCCGCAGTCGTTCGGCGGCGTGTATTGAGTCCCTAGTGGGACTCAGTGGGCGGAAGGCCCCCGAGGAGCACCGGCCGGAGACATGTATGGGGGCCGGCCTGTCGTCAACACCTGGGGAGAGCCAGGTTGTTCTCCGGCGCCATATCCACCGCAGGGAGAGGCGCCGTCATACACAACAGCATGGCGGGGGACCCAGGCAGCGGATAACAGGGTCCGCGGCCCCCAAGGCCCGCCAGGGTGGGTACCGCCGGCGCCATCGGGCTTGGCATCAATGGTGGCAGGGCCGGTACCGAGAGGTTTCCCGCCGCCGGCACCACCTCCGTTTAGAGACAGCAGAACCAGGGAGGGCGACCGTCCCAGAGCCACTCAGTGACCGCTAAACTGGGACCCGTTGAAGGCGCGGCTACAGGCTGTACAGCCGGGGAGCCAGAGGACAGACGCGGAACTGCGCAAGGTAGCACAGGAAAACAAGCTGTGTTTTCATTATGCAGCGGCGGGGTTCACTCCCGGAGCATGCCCACTGCTCGTGGAAGGTCGGGAATGCCGGTGGCGTCACACACCCCCGGAAGGAGTGGCGGACGCGATAACCCTGTTCGTACAGCCCGTCAGAGGGGCTCCGGTAGGTCAATAGGACAACGGGTGGAGGGGTTGTGTTATTTCTTGGGCAGATCGAGAGAAAAGTGCATGCGGTAATCGGATTGACAGACATCAGAGAAGGAGGACTGCATTAA